CTGACTGCTCAACCAATTTAGGCACTAGAGCTACAAGGTCTGCTTGCAAATTCTTAGGAGCCTTGTCCAATACAAGAGCAATTTTTTGAGCAGATTGTGGTCGCCGTCTTGGTTCTGGACAGCCTTCGGAACAGCCCCATCCAAAGCTCTTAGTGAGTTTACAATCAAATGGCCGTTCTGGGCTAAAAAATATAGGTCTTTTTGAAAATTGGAACGACCCGTTCCAGTTTGGGAACGACCCGTTCCAGTTGTGGGAACGGTTCGTTCTGGGCTAGAAATTTTAAGGTTTTTTGGAAGGTTGGAACGACCCGTTCCCGTTTGGGAACAACCGTTCCAGGCTAGAATTTATAAGTCTTTTTTGAAGTTTGGAATGGCCCGTTCCAGTTTGGGAACGACCCGTTCCAGGCTAGAAATTTTAGGACCTTTTGGAAGGTTGGAACGACCCGTTTTGGGCTAGAAATTTTAGATCTTTTTGGAAGGTTGGAACGGCCCGTTCTGGGCTTCTAAAATCATATTAAAATTACTAAATTATCCCCCATAAAAATATAAGAAATGAGGTGTTACATTTGCCTTCTATATTTTTTTGTCTTTTTTATTCTTTTTTGTACATACCTTTTTTTGCTATTTTTTAAACAAATATGACATTTCCCGGACGAAATTGGGTTACTACATGTATTATTCTAAAAGAGTTCATTAAGATCATAAAAATGTATATCTACTCTTAAAAGAGAGTTATTCTATAATTCCAAATTGATCATTGGATTTCTGAAGGAGAAAGGGTTTTTCTCCTTGTTGGTTTTTGAATCTCAACACAAGGAAAGAGAGTTCTAAGGTGTTAGAGGATTTTCAAGTCTTGTAAGAGTTACAAGAATAGTGAAAATCTCATGTTGGAGACTTGAGGACTGGATGTAGGTAGGATTGGCCGAACCAGTATAAATTACGTTTACAATTCTTCTTTTCCCCTAGCGAATCTTGCCTTAATTTTGCATAGCCCCCTTAGTGGGTTTCTGCCAGGCTTTCATTTTTGCAGCGTTTGTGTGGGACGCCCTATTTTTATTTAACCCTAGTCATGTTTGGATTCTTGATTGTTCTTTTGTTATCCTTTCCATGTTATTATCGAGTAACATCTTTGTCGTAAATACATTTTGTTTATTAAGGGTTGATGGATGAGGCCTAAAGTGAATATTTGAAGGGAGAAGAGAAATGAAATAGTGTTATAGCATTTAAAACAATACTTTCAATTTACACGTGCCCCTTTAACAAAGCTCGAAGGCCTGGGCATGCCTCAAGTTCGTGATTCGTAACGGAGAGATAGATAAAGGTTTACCCCTAGAGAGTCACGGTTGATGATTGGTCGGACTACTTTAGGAACACATTCCCACATACTTGAACTCTAGTGTTTTGAATTTGGAGTGAACCCTTTATGAATTCTTGCTCTCTAAGGGGAATACTTGAGCCACCTTTCGATTTTCAACTCACACAAGCATTTTTTTATTTTTATATATCCCTAACTATTGCATAGGAAAGTTTTAGTGTTTGAATCATCGATTTGGGCGTGTGATTCCCCCTAATTACTGATAAGTTCCCCGATTTGATGTGTTTGGTTCACATTTGATTACATCAATTTCCATTATCCAGTTAACACGTATAGATTAGGTTTCCCTTTTTATTCTTATTTATTATTTACAAGGAAGGTGTGTTATCTATATGAAACGTAAAATAGGATGCAAAGACACTTGAGAAATTCAATGAATATCATTCTCATTGATTCTTGTTTAGAGAACATCTTTGCATACTATTATATGTGCCTTCCATTTCTAATGAATGTATGCTAATATACTATCCTAGGAGATGTATGATATTTATTTTCTACCTAAATTTTATCATGTTTTTGACTAAGGGTTATGATGCATGATTTTTTTGCTATATTTTTTTTGTTTTTTTTAAATAAACTATCTTATATGATGCTTTAGGGATAGGGTATACTGAAGGGTGTTAGTTTTTTTTTTATTGATATTTGTTTGTTTGTCTATGATTCTTTTTTATTTGAAATGAACAAAAACAGAACACAACAAATGTAACACGTATATGCTCAAACAAATGTACACTCGCGGACAGTCACGTTCAAATCCTTAGTCTGTGGTCCCTGTCAATAAAAGTGCATCGTATAGGATGGTTCTAAACTCACTGGTCTTAAAGGCCCCCAAGGTGCTCCTATTATAGGGACCCAATATCTCTGTTGCCATCACCTGACAAACTCTAAGGTCTGTCGCAGTATTTCAGGTTAGAGTACAAGGACAAACTTTGGCCAGTCGTACATCAACCACTCCCTATGTTTATACCCCTATGTCCTCGAGTGTAGGGGGAACTATTGTGTGCAAAGGTTTGTGTACAATTTTTATTCAAATAGGGGCAAAATTTAAACAAGACAAACAGATATCAAAGCCAAACAAAGAAAACAAACAAGGTAAAGGGGAATATATTTAAATTATTATTATTATTTTATTAACTTCATCATTTGGGCCTGACCCTCTTTAAACTTTTCCAGTGGAGTCGCCATCTATCGCAACCCGAAAATTTTCAATCTTGCGACCTATGGTTTAGACATCTGTTTGAAAATCTCATCAATTAAGGAATGTCTGAATACTATACTAATCCCTAATTAATGGTTTTAAAAATAGGTTCAGTTTTTTTTTTTTATATAATGTTAGGAAAAATATATCAAGTATTATATTTTTTTAACAATAATTTTGGTACTTTGGATATACTGATTTTGTTTGTAACTAACTTCTAATAAGAAACCTGACTAACCACTTTGAAGGGACTCTTTTCTTAATCAAGTTTTATGTTTAATTATTATTGAAACACTTGGTTGATTATCTTTTTATAGTTTTCACTCTAAAAACGTTATTTTTATCCACATTCTCAAACTGAAAATCATATTAATCGTGAGTTCAGATTCACTTAGGTCAACAACAGTTGACAATTGGTAATATGATATAATAAGAAGATAGATTTAGATAAAACATGCTTATTAATAAAGTTTTTGTGGGTTCATTAAGTGTCCAAATGTCGCTACTCTTGTTATGTAGGAAGACCCGTTCCCGTTTGGGAACAACCGTTCCAGGCTAGAATTTATAAGTCTTTTTTGAAGTTTGGAATGGCCCGTTCCAGTTTGGGAACGACCCGTTCCAGGCTAGAAATTTTAGGACCTTTTGGAAGGTTGGAACGACCCGTTTTGGGCTAGAAATTTTAGATCTTTTTGGAAGGTTGGAACGGCCCGTTCTGGGCTTCTAAAATCATATTAAAATTACTAAATTATCCCCCATAAAAATATAAGAAATGAGGTGTTACATTTGCCTTCTATATTTTTTTGTCTTTTTTATTCTTTTTTGTACATACCTTTTTTTGCTATTTTTTAAACAAATATGACATTTCCCGGACGAAATTGGGTTACTACATGTATTATTCTAAAAGAGTTCATTAAGATCATAAAAATGTATATCTACTCTTAAAAGAGAGTTATTCTATAATTCCAAATTGATCATTGGATTTCTGAAGGAGAAAGGGTTTTTCTCCTTGTTGGTTTTTGAATCTCAACACAAGGAAAGAGAGTTCTAAGGTGTTAGAGGATTTTCAAGTCTTGTAAGAGTTACAAGAATAGTGAAAATCTCATGTTGGAGACTTGAGGACTGGATGTAGGTAGGATTGGCCGAACCAGTATAAATTACGTTTACAATTCTTCTTT